GCACAGGGAGACAGCTTAGGGGGCAGGAGAGTATGGAGGGATGGACACTGGGAAGTGGTACCATGGGGAGGAAGTTGGAGGGGAGCTGTTGCATTGTGATAAACTGTGGTCAATGACATGAGACAAAGTATATGTGAACTGCTGTATCGAGAGTGAATTTGCTCTGTAAATCTTCACCCAAATCATAATTAAAAAAAAAAAATACGATTTTAAATAAACTATAAAAACAAATGTAAAAAAAAACTAAAACAGATTTACTGAGATATACTTGACACAAGGTAAACTATCCACATTTAAATTATACAGTTCGATGAATTTTTATATTTGTGTGTACCCATAGTACCATTATCACAACCAAGATAATGAACTTTTCAATCCATACATTTTTTCATTCTTTTTGTAGTCCCTTTCTTTGATACCTCCCCAACTCTCTGTATCCCCAAAAAACCACTGATTTTTTTTTTAGTATAGATTTCTTTTCATTTTCTAAAAAAAAATATATGTAAATAGAAACAAACAGCATGTACTATTTTTTGGTCTGGTTTGTTTCATTCAGCATAAACAACAACAACAAAAAAAACCCTCACTGCTGTCAAGTTGGTCCCGACTCATAACGACCCCTCCTTGGGTTTCCGAGGTGGTATTTCTATGGAAGTAGATTGCCAAAACCTTCCAAGGAGTGGCTGGTGGGTTTGAACCACCAGCCTTCTGGTTAGGAGGCAAAGGGCTTAGGCACTATGCCACCAGAGCTCATTCAGTATAGTAATTTTGAAATTTATACATGTGGTATTTCATGTATCAGTAGTCTATTCTTTTTTATTGCTGAGTAGAATTCCATTATGTGGAGTTACTGCAATTTTTTTATCCATTCATATCTTCATGAACATTTTAGTTATTTCTAGTTTTTGGCATTGTAAATAAAGCTACTATGAACATTCATGTATTAAACTTGGTATGAAAAAAACAAACTGCTGTTGAGTCAGTTCTGACTCATAGTGAACCCTCGGGTTTCCGAGGTGGTATTTCTACAGAAGTAGATTGCCCAGTCTATCGAGAAGTGGCTGGTGGGTTTGAACCACCAGCCTTCTGGTTAGCAGTCAGATGCCTTAGGTACTACGCCACCAGAGCTCCTAGACTTGGTATAGACATATTTTCATTTCTCTTTGATAAATAGGGGCCCTGGAGACTCCCTGGTTAAGTGTTCAGCTACTAACCAAACGGTCAGCAGTAGAAACCACTAGCTGTTCCATGAGACAAAATGTGTTAGTCTGCTTCCTTAAAGATTTACAGTTTTGGAAATGGAACAATTCTATTCTGCCCTATAGGGCTGCTAAGAGTTGGAATTAACTTATTGCAATGGGCTTAGCTTGTTTGTTTTGTTTTATGGTAAATAGGAATAGAATGGCTAGGTACAGAATAGACTCTATATGTAGTGATAAGAAATGCAGTATTTCTGAAGAAAACATTTTCCAGTTATTTGTTTTATAAATCAGTAGAAAGGATTTTTATTAGGAAAATAAACATACATGCATACATGCATACATACAACATACTTCTTGAGCATTTTATTGTTTCTAAATATTTGAAATTTGTTTTTTGATATACATGATACAATTTGCCCCAGATTAAAAATTACTTAAGTAAAATCTTTCATTTGGAAACCTGAATTGATGAGTGCTTTATATCTCCTCTTCTAGCTTTTTTTTATTTGTCATTTTGAGGTTTGTTCTCGAGCAACTCTCTACCCATAATAAAGTATGAAAACCACTTAAAACCATTTTATAATTGTACAAGTCGAGAACCAATTGAATTCTGTTAAAATGGTGATGATTTGGTCAAATACATTCAGAGATGCTTGGGTTTGTGCTTCAGCAAGCTTATCATTGAATTCAGTGAGTATGCCAAAGAAGGAAAACATGATAGTTTACATTTTATTCATAGTATAGGTTAATTTTCCTTTAATAGCAATTGGCATAAAAATGATAGTATATATATTAGAATTATACACTGGCAGCAATCTTGCCTAGCGATCCAATGTGATAATACCTAACCACTTTTGATCAATCTTGGTAGATTCTTGTGTAAACAAAGCGAAAGTTGAAGAAAGTGAACAAAAAGCAGTGGAGTTTTCAAAGAAGGTAAGACTTATAAAATATTAGTTATAATTGCTTAACTTAATTTTATCACAACACATGGGCTATCTTTTTCTATATGTGATGACTTACTATGTCATTTCATTTGTATAATACTTTATATTTCTGGACCCAAAACATAACCACAGAATATCATTTGTTTCCTATTAAGATAAAGTTGCTACTGTTCTCTCCTCATTGCATTTCATCCAAAATGGAAGAGCACTAGCTATATTATACTAAAGTGATAAAGTAACTAAAAATAGGTTGTTGAAAGGAGGTATTTAGATGTAATCAGCCAAAATCTTCCATTGCTTTACTGTAGCTCTCACTTAGATTATGTAGCACCTGGGAGAACTACGAGAAGTTTAGCTAGTCCTCTGTTCTTTGTTTTAAAATCAGTCCTATTGGCAGCAACAGAATGATGGAATATACTCTTTGTCTCTGTGTGTCTCTCTGTTTAAGATTAGCATCTTTGAATGTTTTAATTAGCATTTTTTAAATGATGCTGTTAGTTCCTGTGAGCTTGGTGGGATTTGAGGTTCCTGTTTCTTTCCATGCCTTACGTATGTGCCTTGCAGCAAATGCCAGTGTTATGAATCTCTTAATTTTGTTTATATCTAAGGTTGTCTTTTCCTTCCTTCTTGAATGCATAGCTGCAATTATATTAGTTTCCACCAAAAGTTTAATTTTTTTATTGTAGATCCTAAGAAGCTCTAGAGTATTTCTCTTCTGTTGGTGGCAGGGAAAAGCGCTGAAGCACAAGTCTAAAAGCTCTCCAGTTTTCAGCCTTTTGACAGCAAGATAAAGTGCTTACTTATTGCTGTCTCTTCAAAGTTATGACTTACCTTGAGATTAAATAATCACTTTTGCTATCACTCTAGAAATTACAGAGTATTACTGATGTTACTTCAGGGCATCTGAAGAAATATTTTTGCTCTTTCAGTTACTAGGATAGATTTTAAGAGCTCGAGCATAAAATATTTGTGTGAAGCTGTCATTTTTATTGGTGCAAGAAATGCATGCTTTTTGATTAATAGACCTTTATCTTTCTGATGTTCTTGTTTTAAGTAGCACATTTAAAACTTCCTTTGAAAATCAGAATCTCCTTAATTTTTGGCTGGTATGGTGATAATATCACAAGATTGGGGCAAATTGTGATTTTCTATCTGGTAAAAGTTTTCTTTAAGCATATATTATGCAAAATAGAATATTGAAAATAGTAATAATAACAAAATCATTCAGTATTTAAAGCTTTATTCTCACCACCAGCATTTAGAATGAAAACAGATATGATCTCCTAGTGGTTATCTGCCTATCTTCTTTTATTTTGGGTCATTTTTAAAGGGAGTATAAATTAGTTTTTAAAAAGTGTGGAGTGATAGAAGATATGAGATCAGCTTTGCCACTGATTAGCTATGATTTACGTAAGCCACTTACTCTCCTTGAATATTAGTTATTCATCATTAGAGGAGAGAATGAGATTAGTGGACTTCTAAGAAGGCCTCTTCCAGCTCACATATTTCAGGCTTCTGTAATTCTGATTTATGGTTTTACAGATTTTTAAAATAATTTTATTTTATAAGCAGAAAGATTATGTGACTCTCTTTAAATGTATCAATACTCCATATATAGAAGGGAATTGGGGATTGTAGACGGTGTGCTTGTGTGTTTATTATGCTCAGAAAGCACACATTGAGAAGCTAACTTTGGGAAGAGGAATGACAGTGTATTCAGGTAAATAGTTACGATGGAAATTGGTGAAGTCAGACAAGCTCACATTGGAGGACCTTCATCTTCTCCCTCAAGTCTGAAACAATCAGTTACTGACTGTGGAGTCTCTGGGTTAGTCTTGAAATTTAAAAAGGCTAGAAAAGATTTGGATTAACCATTCTGGCATGTTTTACAGGGACTTGGGTATGGATGAATAAAATAATTTCTACGTACTTTTTCAGGTTTAACCAAAACACTATTTTTAATCCAGTTTGCTCACCCATTCTTGTTCAGAGTTAGATCTGAATAATGGTATTTTAGAATTTCCAAAGGTCACATCCCCTCTGAGAATGAATATTTATTAACAGTGAACATACTTTGTATTGTTCCACAAACTCTAAAGAAAATTCTAGACAAGAAGATAGATCATTTTTAGAAACTGGAATAGCATTGTTGGAATAATGTATAGGTTTCTACAGTGACTAGAGGTGGCATTGACCAAAAAAAGGACAGATAAAATGGAATTATCTTTCTTTAGCTGTACATAAACATTGTTCACTTTAAGTATTCAAGCTTGTTTGAACCTGTTTAGAGGCTTGACTGAAGTAGAGACTGAGACACAGTAGATAACTTCAGAGACCATTCAGACAGTGTCTGACTTAGTGTACCATACTTTAACATCTCACTTTCTCTCTCATAACATTTTATGAACATGTTGTGGCTAGCCATCTGAAGGAGAATGGCTTTATGCCATGCCCCTAACATTCACCCATAAGATTTCATGATACACCTCTTTTGGGATGCTGGACAATTAAGATTGTAATATAAACACTCTAATTTGTATTAAAGTACATGTATTTGTGCATTCTAGAAACGCAATCTCTTCTCAAGGTTAAAAATTTAAGAAGTTGAACTTTTTTACAACTTATTTTTAGTTTTCATATTCTAATTCATTAAACTTATATGTATGGTAAGAAACTTTAAAAGTTAGTATTTCTTCTGAAACTTAATTTTTAATAAGAAAACAATGAATGGCTATGATGTGTGAAGAGAAACTTCTCAGCCCTCCCATTTTTTTATTTTGTATTTTCTTTTCAGAAATGAAAATGGGTTTGTTAGCCTTGGGTCAGTGGCATATTTCTTAAATTACTACTACTGCCACTACCAGCATTCACCCCACCCAACCTCAGTACTTAATTGTCATGAAAACAGTCAAGAACTCTGATTTTCTTGGTAGTCTAGGCAATCAAAGAGGAAAACAATCATTTATATATTACATAATAGTATTGAAAGCTTTCTTGAAACTTTATTATTAAGGTCCATTTATGGTGGTTATTCTTGCAGTTTGATGAAGAATTCACAGCTCGACAGCAAGCTCAAGCTGAGCTTCAGAAAAGAGAAGAAAAAATCAAAGAGCTTGAAACAGAAATCCAGCAGCTTCGCACTCAGGTAATAAAACTAGATACAGACTTTGTCATGCCACACTAAGTTCTGCAGTGATATCTTGTTATATGGAAGGTGAACATATGACCAGAAGCAGACTTTTTGGCAGTTTCACATTTTAGTTTACATAACTCTCCTAATTCTATTTCCAAGACAACAAATCATTTTAATGTTTGGGTAATAGTTTTTGAAATTGCCCAGAATATTTTTAACAGACTATATTACACAAGAAAAACTTTTTGAGGTGAAATTTTCATGATTTTGAAAAATCTGGTACATAGTATTTTCTTCAAAAAGAATGTAGAAATGCTCATTAATTTTAATTGTCCCCAAAGCTTTTTGAGACCTCTAAATGCCAACTACCACAATTTCAAAACCTGTAAGCTTTGCATTTCTACCTACATTCCCTATGATGAAAAGTTCCTATACACACTTAAAATCTTAACTAGGGTATCTAACTTTAGAGCTGATTAAGTACTGTCTTCAGCACAGTTTAGTTCTTGAATGAATATTAAGATTGCTTCTTAACATAGTGGATGCTCAGTATGTTTGTTCATTGAATTGGTCTGTTTCCATCAGTGTACTGAAAAGTTATTTCAAAACTCACCTCCAAATTCCCCAGTGCAGTGGTCTTTTCCTGACTTTAGACTATTTCACTTGTATTTGATCATTGCATTTCAATGCATGACTCTCTATTTGGTATCATCTTGCCTTTTTACAGCTGTTAAACTACTCTCTGTTATTTTCACCACCTAAATGGTGACATTCTCCTGTTTTACCATCCTCTGCTCTTTTCTTTTCTCTGTATATCTTTGTTCTGATATCCCATTCAGTATGAAAGTCAAATGTCACCATTTACAAGGGTTTCTGTGATGTCCTATCTTTTCTCAAACCAGTGTGGTCTCCATTCTAAGTTATTTAAATTTTACCCTCTTTTTTTTTTTTTTTTAGTGAATGAGACTGAAATTTTCTTTGTCTTTTCTGTGCCTCGTTCTCTGAAAAATTAAGGTAGTCACTCTTTTATGTCACTTCTTTCACTGTCTTTTTTTCCCCTCTGGCATCAAAACCCACAACCACTGAGGTCTATTCTCTCATTACATCTTGCCTGGAATGTTATAATTGTTTACTAACTTTTCCCCCTGCCTATAATCTCTTTCTCCTCAAATCCATCCTTTATGTCAGTGGCAAATTAATCTTCCTAAAACACTGCCCTGATTATTGTCACTCCAGGCTCTAATATGTTCAGTGGTTGCCTGTTGCATTCAAGATTAAATAAAAATCTCCTTACTAGGACTTTTAAGGTCTTCAATCATAGCCTCCCTTATCTCCCCTTTCCAGCTAAATTTCTGACTGCTTTAACTACAGCTTCTGTTGGAGCTAAGTTACCATTCCACCCCCTTGACATTTAGAATTTACCGTCTTCATACTTTTCCCATCTGCCTGCATTTCCTAGACATGAGTTACAAAGATGTTAATAGGCCTTCCATGAGGAAAACATTAAATAGTCTTAAGAAATTTCATAAATGTAGAATTCTCCTGTTGGAGATTCTCCAGTGTACTCATTAGCATATTCAAGAGGCCTGGATGTCCTACATGGAAGAGACTTGTCTCTTTCCTGTCAATTTCCTAAACTCATTTGACCAAATAGAACACTTTATCTTAGAACACCTGTTAACATCTCCCGGAAATAGTGCTTTGTTAAATTTAGTTAGAAATGCTGGCTTATATTAGTCTCTGTTAGAAGTACCCTTCGTTGATAATCTGTACATGTGAAACATATCCTTTAAGGATGAACTCAATAACATAACCTTTGGAAATCTTCACCAAAACCCTCATTAGGAAATTTCACTGAATATCTATGTTATATTTTTAGACCACTTGTATTGAATTGTTTCTGTACCTGCTTTGTTTCTTCCACTTTAATAAAAGCAGTTTTGAGGGCAGTGTCTATTTCTTTTTCTTATTTTTTATTCATACTCTTGTACTTATTCAAGGTCCTACTGCACTAATGCAGGCCTTTGCTGTTTAGTGAGTTGTTGTTGTTATGTGCTGTGGGGTCAGACCCGACTCATAATGACCCCTCCTTGGGTTTCTGAGGTGGTATCACTATGGAAGTAGATTGCCTAACCTTCCTTCTGAGAAGTGGCTGGTGGGTTTAAATCGCCAGCCTTCTGGTTAGCAGTCAAGTGCCTTAGACACTACACTACCTGATCTCCTGTTTAGTGAGTAGTTGCTTATTTTTTATTAAATTAACTGGCCTATAAAAGTAGAGTCATGAAGCACATTCTAGTACACTACAATATGTTCCAAATACAAAATTATTCATTTGCTGTATTTGATGAGGTCTAATTTAATCACTCAATTCTTATTTTTTCATAGGAGGGAAGAAAAAAGATGCTATGGTTTACTTTCTGTAGGTCTGTGACATTTAATATAAGCATTTGAGGTTCTGTGGTGGTACCAGTTTAATAGCGTTAAAAATATCTAAAAGACAAAATTTGACTGATATCTACCAAATGTATTCCTTTAATTTTGTTGTCCCTTAATAAAAAATGGCTCACACATTTTGCCTTTCAAAATATTTTTTAAAAAATTATACAAAACTTATAAGGTGAATTATAATTTCCTGAGATTTTTCAGAATAAAAATATAATTTTTCCGAGAATTTCCTTGATGGCAATCAGAATTTTTTATAATTTTACTGTGTTACAAATAAAATGAAAATAGGTTTGCATATTTTAATCTCATCTTTTCATTTCTTCCTAACCTCTGAAAGGATTGTTATTTGTTAAGTATATAACTATTTTAGTTGTGTATATGAATATTTACATGTAAACATTCATACATATGAATAAAATACTTGGTTATTGCTCAGTGATTATTATGGAAACATTTCCATGATCATGCCAACCTAGGATTGTTCACTTGTAGTATTTTTGTAAATAGGTTAAACCTTTAAATTGTTCTAAAAATGTGCTTTAAAAATATGCTTCAATTCTATTTGTTAGTACAATTAAATGATCCAAGTAGAAAATTTCTATTAATAAAGATAAGACATTTTTGCAAAATAAAAATCACACTATACCAAGATGTTTCATTAGTTTTAAACTTTTCTTTCAATGAATGCTGTGTCATATCTTGTTTACAAAAGATGTCTATTCATTGGTAGGGGTTTCTTAGGAATATTCATATTAAACAATTCCACTTTTGTATTTCTTTATTTTGAAAGTGAACCATTCTGATCAGTAATGGTTTAAAAAAATGGGTACAGATGGATCATCACAAAAGAAGACGTTATGGAATATAGTGCTTTTCTTCATCTGCCATATATTACCATTAGAGAATGAACTTGAAGTTGCTTTCTTTTAGTAGAAATACATTGTAGTATCCATATAATTCAATCTGTGTGAATTAATTATCCTCATAGCAAATTTATATTCATTCACAAAGAGGTTGTCTGTCTGCTATTGATGGAGTCTCTGGGTGGCACAAATGGTTAAGTGGCTGAAAGGTTGCTGATTTCAACCCAGGCACTTTGGAAGACAGGCCTGGTGATCCATTTCTGAAAGGTCACACAAACATATTGAAAACACCATGGTGACTAGATCTACTCTGTACTCATAAGATTGTCATGACTCAGAGTTGACTTGATGGCAACTAACAGTAACAACAAGTCTGATACAGGGAATAGAGGACTTCATTAAGTATGAGGAGATCTGTATTCAAGTCCTCATCATGTTTCAAACTGTGATCTATGGTTAGTCCCTTAAAATTTTGAAGTTTCCATTTCTACATCTATAAGCTTGTTGTTGTTGTTAGGTGCTATTGAGTCATCTCGGACTGATAGCAACCCTGTGCACAGCAGAACAAAACACTGCCTGGTCCTGTGCCAGCTTCACGATTCTTGATGTACATGAGCCCATCATCACAGCCACTGTGTCAATCCATCTCGTTCAGGCCTTCCCCTTCTTAGTTGACACGCCACTTTACAAAGTTTGATATACTTCTCCAGGGAATGGTCCCTTCTGACAATATGACCAAAGTAGGTGAGATGAAGTCTGGCCATTCTCATTTTCAAGGATCATTCTGGCTTCACTTCTTCCAGGAAGGATCTGTTAGTCCCTTCAGCAGACCACGGTACTCTCAGCATTCTTCTCCAGTGCCGCAACTCAAAAGCATCCACTTGTTTTTGGTCTCCTTTATTCATTGTCCATCTCTCATGTGCATAAGAGGTGATTGAGAATACCATGGCTTGGGTTAGGTGCACGTTAGTCTTCAAGGTGACATCTTTATTCTTCATCACTTGAAACAGCTCTTTTGTAGCAGATTTGCACAATGCAATATTTATCCTGACTTCTACTTCCATGGATGTTCATTGTAGAACCAAGTAATATGAAGTCCTTGACAACTTCAATATTTTCTCCATTTATTGTGAAGCTGTTACCAGTTGTGAGGATTTTTGTTTTCTTTATGTTGAGGTGTCATCCATAATCTTCATCAGTAAGTGCTGTAAGTCATCCTCACTTTCAGCAAGCAAACGTGTGTCATCTGTGTATTGTAGGTTGTTAATAAGTCTTCCTGCAATCCTGATGCTATGTTCTTCTTCATATAATCCAGCTTCTTGGATTATTTGCTCAGCATACAAGTTGAGTAAGTGTGTTGAAAGGATACAACCTTGCTGCACTCCCGTTTTGATTTTGAACCATGCAGTATCTCCTGGTTCTGTTTGAATGACAGCTTCCTGATATATGTATAGGTTTTGTATGAGGACAGTTAAGTGTTCTGGAATTCCCATTCTTCTCAATGTTATCCGTAATTTGTTATGATCCACACAATCAAATGCTTTTGAATAGTCAATAAAACACAAGTAAACATCTTTCAGGTATTCTTTGCTTTGAGCCAAAATCTGTCTGACATTAGCAATGATATCCCTTACTCCACTCCCTCTTTTGAAACCAGCTTGCAGTTCTGGAAGTTCTCTGTGAATGTATGGCTCCAACAATTTTTGATTTATCTTCAGTAAGATTTTGGTTGCATGAGATATTAATGATATTGTTCAATAATTTCCACATTCTGTGGGATCA